ACATTTGGTACACAGATGACTTACTCTCTGGAAAAAAATACTGTGGGGATAAAGACACCCCTAAAACCCCTCGAGGTGTGTTTTCTGTTAAGATACAGCCTGTTGTACCTTAAAATGGCTTCTACTGTACAGCGCAGTGGGGGTGCCACGGTAACAGCTTCACAGTACTCCACAAGGGAGCTCCCTCTGGTAAGGGGGAAAATCCAACATTAGAAATTACATTTGGTCCAGGCATTTTCCCCCTATAAATAAATACCTAGGCAACGCCGGGTTATCAACTGGTTAATCTTGTTGTGAAAATCATGTTTGGAAGGTGTAAAACAATATAATTTGGACACAGAGACCAGAAACCAAGCTGAAATCGCAATGATAGTGCTGTCAGGTGCTGGATCCAGTGGGCTCGATCCCCCCAAAATATTCATTTATTTCTTATGTTGGCAAGAGACCTTCTCTGATTGCTAGGAGAAAGGGAGACATTGGCTGAAACCCAGGGAAAGCATTCCCAATGTATTCATCCGTGCTTAATTTGGTATGAAATGTTGTTATAATGCTGCTTTGGACTTGAATAGTACCAGTACTTGTAATTTGAGTAGCTGAGGATACATAACTGCTTTTCTAACAATAGCGTTTCAGGATCTGTCCTGATTTTATTTGAAAACAATGTACCTAAATTATTGAGTACCACCGGTAAATATTTATTATTCAGTTGCATTTGTTACTAGCGTTGCTTTTTAAAATCCAAAATGATGCTTTTAAAAAAAAAATAGCAATGCCCTTACACTCTTCCGTTGTTGTTGTTTTTTAAATAGACTTGAAAGTGTATTGCACCCTGTTTTTGACAATTCTGAGTTTAAAAATATCTATTTTCACCCCCACTGGTGCCTTTGAGAGATGCATGCCTCAAGTGAGTCTTATGATGTGAATGTTTTGGTGGATAGTTTGGTCTGGTGATTTGCTCATATGATCTCAGATCAGATCACGAAACGCAAGAAAAAATTGCTTCAACCCTCCTGTTGTCTCTGCGGAACGGAATCCGGTCAGTGCTCTTTTTATCAAAATTTAATGGGTTCACAGTTGAAAAACTTCAAAGGCTGTCTCATCCTCTGGCTGTTGCAAGGATTTATGATCTCCACATATGGAGGTTAAGCGAAGAATACTAGAGGCCATTTAATTATTTGGGGGGGGTGGGGTTAGAATCCATTTGTGTATTAGAATAGAATAGAATAGAATAGAATAACAGAGTTAAAAGGGACCTTGGAGGTCTTCTAGTCCAACCCCCTGNTTTTTTTTTTTGTTTGTTTGTTCTACTGACAATTTTGGAATGATGTTTCCCAGTTCAGATTGGCAGAACCTAATGTTGCATGCAAGTATATTAATATGCTCCGATTTTTGAAAAAAACCCGATACTACATATTTAACTTTCTATTAATGGAAGAGGATGCTATTTTTTCCAGTATTAATTTCGAATACGTACTTGCCTCAAATGGCTACCCTGCAGTGTGTTAGCTCTAATTTTATGGGATTTTATGGGAGTTGCGGGGATTAAAGACTGTGAGGAACTCCAGTTAGGGAAAAACCATATTACATTTTATTGCAAAGTAATTACTGTCGAATGCAGTGTGACTTACTTAATACAACACAATAGCAGAGTTGGAAGGGACCTTGGAGGTCTTCCAATCCAACCCCCTGCCTAGGCAGGAAACCCTATACTGTTTTAGACAGATGGCTATCCAACATCTTCTTAAAGACTTCCAGTGTTGTTGGGCCATATTTACCAAGACATCCAACAGTCTTATTAGATTATAGCTTTATTGATCAAAGCACAAGCTTCAAACACATTATTTATTTATTTACTTTGTCACTCATGTACAAGATAACAGGGATAAGAATAAACATCAATAAGAACACAGGAAATGGGTACAAATAAATGGGGACAGTAGGACAGGGACATTAGGCACACTGATGTGCTTATGCACGCCCCTTCGTATCACCAATAAAATCCTATACAAACAATTTAAAATAAGAGTAGGGTGAAGTACAATAGTTAGAGGATCAGAAGCAATATAATTTAATACATAAATATGTAAAATAGAACAAAGTGACATAAAACTCTATTTCGGTGTCACCCTTACAATCTACCCCAATCAGTCCCACGTAATACAGATCTCAACCGAACCAATTTGTTTTAAGTATTGTGCTGTGTTAAATGTTATTTTCGGGTTCTGGCTGCACATAAGACTAAGTTGTTTCGATATGGGGATCCCAACGGGTCCTTCGTTTGGTATATGGACCAAGGTATCTGTCTTTCACCCCCTTATATGGATGAGCCGAGGTGGCACAGTGGTTAGAGTGCAGCACTGCAGGCTACTTCAGCTGACTGCAATTCTGCAGTTCGGTGGTTCAAATCTCACCGGCTCAAGGTTGACTCAGCCTTCCATCCTTCCGAGGTGGGTAAAATGAGGACCCGGATTGTTGGGGGCAATATGCTGANGTTCAAAGTTACAATGGCACTGAAGAATGAGAGCTATGTCCGTTATTCACAGCTACGACTTTTGCAGCATCCCCCTGGTCACGTGATCAACATTCAGCTGCTTGGCAATTGCTTCATATTTATGACCATTGCTGTGTCCCCCAAGGTCACAGGATTCCCCCTTTGCTACCTTCTGGCAAGCCAAGCCAACGGGGAAGCCAGCTTCACTTAACAACCGGGTCACTAACTCACCAACTGCAGTGTTTCACAGCCATGGCAAGGAAAGTTGCAAAATGAGGCAAAGCTCAACAGAGTTCTCACTTAACAACAGAAACATTGGACTCCATTGTGGCCATACTTTAAAGAGCACTATTTTTTTTAAAAAATCTAGTCTTGTGGTGTGTGTCAAACGCTCGGGCATTTCTATAACAATACACATTAGCATTTATTTTTAAAATCTCTTTTATCACTTCCAGCAAATTAATTTATTTTGGGGTGTGGTAGGCAATTAATCTTTAACTGCTGAACAGGTTCATATATCAAAACTGCTTAACCACTCCCTTCTCCTTTTTGATGCAATCTGTCCTATGAATCACCGCTTTGCAAGATGATTTGATACAGTGCTTTAAAGGAGGTTGAAAAAGGGAAATTCCTTTTTTTTTTAAAGTTCCCAAGTAAGGAAAAAGTCTTACAGAAATTTAGGATGCTGAAGCCATAGATATAGACATAGGTTGCATATCTAATATTTCCACCCTGGTTATTGATATACATTGAAAAGAATTACCTGTAGAAACATGTACTTTGCTGCCACCAAATGTAAGTGGATAATAGCAACTATGTCTGTAGCCAACTGTGGCCATCTGAAAGATATATTTATTTATAAAATGTAGAGACTGCCTTTGAACTATGGTGTTGGAGAAGACTTCTATGGTGTTGGAGAAGACTCACTGCCTGTCAATCCTAGAGGAGATCAACCCTGACTGCTCTTTAGAAGGCCAGATCCTGAAGAGGAAACTCAAAGACTTTGGCCACCTAATGAGAAGGAAAGACTCCNTTTTTTTTTTTTTTTTTTTTAGGATATTGACTATAAACTTGATGCTAAGTCTAAGGACCTTCCACCCCTGCGAAACCCAGATATACTTGTGGGTGAAAATGACCTGACAGCACTTAGCTATCTTCACGAACCAGCTGTTCTCCACAATCTCAAAGTTCGATTTATAGACTCCAAACTCATTTATACATATTGTGGTAAGCACAGACCCTCTGAAGTCTCTTTCATGTTATTCCTCATTAGTAAAGGTTCCCCCTTGCACATATCTACTCATTGTTCCCGACTCTAGGGGGCGGTGCTCATCTACGTTTCAAAGCCGAAGAGCCAGCGCTGCCCGAAGACGTCTCTGTGGTCATGTGGCCGGCATGACTAAATGCTGAAGGCGCATGGAGCGCTGTTACCTTCCCACCAAAGGTGCTTCCTATTTTTCTACTTGCATTTTTCACGTGCTTTTGAACTGCTAGGTTGGCAGAAGCTGGGACAAGTCATGGGCGCTCACTCCTTTACATGGTGCTAGGGATTCGAACCATTTAACTGCCAATCTTTCTGATTGACAAGCTCAGCGTCTTAGCCACTGACCCACCGGGTCCCTATCCCTCATTAATGTTAGTAGGTAAATGGCACATTCCAGTCCAAGAATAAATAAAAAATACAGTTATGAAAAAAAAACCCATAATATTTATTTCACAACTATGGGGGCCTGAGGGCTCTATATCTTTGCTGGTTGCGTAAAACCACAATGATGTAGTGATTTTTCCAGTCTTGACATGGGCTGGTATCAAGAACGTTTGTAGAATAGGCACAATAACTGTCACAATATACACAGGTTTCAAGCTTACCTGAACTTGTCAGATGCTATTTTAATCTTTACTGTCTGATTATTGAGCAAAGTCACGTGGCACAGCTGTGTTTTCAGTTGTCGGGATGATCTGTGCATGCAGGGTGTGCATCTGTGACAGTTGTGGGTCTTTCATCAGTTTCTTGGAAGTTGGTGCAACAAGGGAAGTTCTTTTTTTTTTTAAAAAAGGAAACATCTTAAAAATGCATGGGAATTAAGAAGAGATTTAAGCCGAGGATTTTTTAAAATAAATTTTCTTTAAATTTAATTTAAATTTTCATACGCCTTTTCCCTTCTCCATAGATTACGATTCTGGTTCTGTTCTTTACAAGTCTTCTTGATTTGTCCTTTGTATTTCCAATAGCCACTTAGCCATTTCAATTCTTTCCGGCCTGGTCCTTTAGTTCCCTCTAGTGTCCATTAGCAACCTCCACCAAGCCTCCTAATAGTTAATTCTTTTTTTTAAATTTCTCTTTAGTACAGGGGTCTCCAACCTTGGCAACTTTAAGCCTGGCGGACTTCAATTTCCAGAATTCCCCAGCTAGCAAATTCTGGGAGTTGAAGTCCTCCAGGCTTAAAGTTGCCAAGGTTGGAGACCCAGCTCTAGTATATGATTTAATCACATACCTGTTTTTCAAATCTTACAGCAAAAATAACCAATATTACAAATCTCACTGATCTCCCAATCTGTTTAGATCTTAATCTTTGCTTTTTGCAAACTGTATGTTGTTTTTAATTCTTAAATCCCCATTTATTTATTTTTTAAATCCAAACAAAATAAAATCAGGTATCTAATTAAATCCACTATTTTGAAGGTCTCAAATATTCAGTGGCTAAGACGCTGAGCTTGTCGATCAGAAGGTCGGCAGTTCAGCAGTTCGAATCCCTAGCGCCGCATAACCGAGTGAGCTCCTCTTACTTGTCCCAGCTTCTGCCAACCAAGCGGTTCGAAAGCACGTGAAAAATGCAAGTAGAAAAATAGGAACCACCTTTGGTGGGAATGTAACAGCGTTCCATGGGTCTTTGGCGTTGAACCATGCCAGCCATATGGCCATCGAGGCATCTTTGGACAGCGCTGGCCCATCAGCTTTGAAACTGAGATGAGCATCATCCCCCTAGAGTCGGGAATGACTAGCACATATGTGCGAGGGGAACCTTTACCTTTAATATCCATAAAGTAGTTAAATTGAACAATGTTTTTATAAAGTGAGTTAGAGCTTAGCATCCTTACTAAAGTGTCCCTATCAAAGGCTCTGTTGGTGCTGAGAATATAGAATTTGGCTCCTGGAATTCAAATCCATGGGAAACTAGTCTTTTGTGGTCTCCTCGCGAGGAGTTGGCGTCCAGAGCCCTTGTGGATGATCTCCTGTTCACTCCAAGGACTGCTCTACCTGCTGGTCCTTCATTCTTCGTAATAGTCATTGCTCACTCATGGAGATGTCTCTAGTCAACCATGACTCACACCGGAAGCCGAGCCTCCCACAGATGACCACTCAAATTACATTCTGTATAATATCAGCTACATCATTTAGCCAAAATGAAAGGAGAAATACTTCATTATTGTGGTGGTTGGAGCTCAAACATGGACGAAATCTTCCCTGAATTAATTCCACTGCTTTTCCCTCTCTTTGTCATTATGTGGTTTTAGGTATAGTTTTAGTTGCCATCAATCCTTACGAGCAGCTGCCTATCTATGGCGAAGACATCATCAATGCCTACAGTGGCCAAAATATGGGGGACATGGACCCCCACATCTTTGCTGTGGCTGAGGAAGCGTACAAACAGATGGCCAGGTTTGTGGGACGGGGGCGTGTGTGTGCTGGCTTTTCACCAACTAGCTTTGTGGAACGAATGGGGGTTGTTGTCATAATAAATAGAGTTGTTGTGGCTTGTCGGCGGCCAGCAGAGCTAGCAGCAGACTCAGATGAGGAAGAAGAGGAGGGAGAGCCCGGGCTACCTTCAGGGCGTTTGGAAGTCTCTAACAAGGAAACTGCCAGCGTTCCAAGTATCATGTAGAATTAAATCAGAGTCCAAGGCAAAATAATCCTCAAAGTTCCAATTTAATAAAGCAGACATCTTAGCACATCTGTGTAAATCCCAATTCCGGAAATGACATCAGAATCCCACCCAGTTAAAGTTCATGATCTTGTCC